AGGAGTCTGTGAGTGAGCCCATACAAGCTTCTGAGGGCCTTCACCTTGGGTCCAAGGCATATAAAGGTCAGTGGTGTGATCCTTTGAGGGTTTAGGCAGGTAGCAGGAAGGCAGCCCTTAACGTTCCATCTTTTGACTCCTACCTCTACATGTGAATGAGATTGGGCCACATTTACCTCTCTCAGCTTTGTAACCAGCTGGTGAAGGCAAGAAGATAGGAGCTTGATTCTTTTGGCACCTGAATGCAAACATCTCAAAGCAAGTAAGCGTATATGTAAAGAAACGTTATAAGCAGGAAATCGCTGAAGCAGCATCTGCTTCCACCCACCTCCTCTGTTGCTCTATTTCCCTCAGTAGCATCAGGAAGTAAAGCTACTGAGAAAATTCAGCTGTGCTGAGTCTTTGATAACCATAGTTTCTGTTATAAATGATACTATGGTAGAGTATTGCACAGGCCCCAAAAGGTACAAGATTACTCAGGAGAATCCTGCAATTAAACAGGTTGAATGTTCCTTGACCACGAATTGATTCAATAGGTTTTTTCTCAGAATGCTTCGCTACAATGATATCAAGGATACAACATCTGCAAGAACTATTATATCATGGCTTCCAATTTGATACCCACAGAGAGTAAAGAGAAGATTTGTGGTATCACATATGCTTTTATTGAAAAAGAGAAAAAAGGACACTTGAATGTTATTCTTCCAAACATCAATACAGAGTCTGGTAGCCTGAATTGGAATATTCCTATCACTGAATGGTGGGTTTCTAGAATTACCTAGATAATTTCCTTTAGTTTCAAATATTCAGATAATTGAAATACACTCAGATAATTGTATCAATTTGCCAGTATAGATTTATACATTTTATATATTTCGACATAGTCATTAGGCTGAAAATGTGAAAGTCCAAAATGTGAAAACCTACCTTTAAATTTTGTCAAGTGGACTAAGAAGTCAAATTTATCTTGATAAGTTAACATATTTGAAGACTCCTAGGTAATGCCTGGTACATTAGAATATGCTCCGTGATTAAATATTTTTTAAGCAAATCATTAATTTTTCTTAAAGTTATTTTCAGTTCGATATTACTTTTCCTTAAGTTGTATTCACTCTTTTGGAGCAGATGATCTATGGTTTAGTGCAAAAAGAACATAAGAATACTGTTTTGGGGCCAGCCCGGTGGCGCACTGCTACAGTACGCCGCTTGGGAGCGCAGCGGTGCTCCCGCCGAGGGTTCGGATCCCACATACGGACCGGTTCCCGCTCACTGGCTGAGCGAGGTGCGGGTGCAGCACTGAGGGTTGCGATCCCGTTGCCGGTCCCGGTCCGGTACGGGCACGACACTGAGGGTTGCGATCTGTTGCCGGACACGAAAAAAGACAAAAAGGAAAAAAAAAAAAAAAAGAATACTGTTTTGTTTCCAGTACCCACTTGTGGCCCAATATCTTGTGAGGGTTTTTTTGGCCCCAGCCACAACATTGAACTGAAATTTACAAGGAACAGTGATTCCCATGTCTGTTTCTTGGTTAGTAGCCCCAAATGCAAAGAGTATAGAGCAGGATTTCTCAAATCTTGGCACCACTGACATTTTGGGCTGGATAATTCTTTGTTATTGGGATTGGCTTCTGCATTATAGGATGGTTAGCAGCATCCCTGGCCTCTACACACTTAATGCTAGGGACAATGCCCCCTCCCCATTTGCGACACCCATAAATATTCTTCAGGATGCAAAATTGCAACCATGGCATTCAAGTTTATTTGGCCATTTCTGTCTACCTACCTACACTTTAGCTACGAACCAGTTCATTCAGTAAACATTTATAAACATGGGTAAAGTAAAATATTTAATATTGAGAGTATGACAAATGTCAGGAAATTGAAACCACAGATGCTAAATTTAAATTATTAAGTTTTATGGGGCTCAAGGACACTGACGTGGACTTCACTGACTTTACTTCATCTATGTATAGTCTTAGTTTATTATATGGTTATTAAGTATTTACAGCCACCCAGTCACATCAATCAAGCAGGTACCAAATTCTATCTGAGGTGCTATGTCACACTCTATGGGGCTACCAAAAAGCACAAGATGTCGTGCTTCTCCTCAAGGAACTTTTCCCATCAAGCTATAGGAATACACTGTAATGTATTACTAGACTCTGGGCTGACATTTTGAAGTAAAATATTCGTGTCCATTTTCTATGTGTGTGTGTGGGGAGTGGTAGCAAAAGCATACCTGAATTTCTTGTCATTTTATTTAAATTAAGAATTTGAGAAGTAATGCAGTCCAAGGGGGAAAAAATACCTGGTGCTCATAAAATCTGGATTGTTTTCAAATATGGACAACTTCAAGGGCCGGCCTGTGGCTCACTTGGGAGAGTGTGGCGCTGATAACCCCCAGGCTGCAGGTTCAGATCCCTATATAGGGATGGCCAGTTAGCTCACTTGGGAGAGTGTGGTGCTAACATCACCAAGTCAGGGGTTAAGATTCCCTTACAGGTCATCTTTTTTTAAAAAACAAAACAAAACAAAACAAATATGGACAACTTCACAATATTTTATGAATACATACATGCACACACAATGGAAAAAGCATAAACAAACCCTGTAAACAACTCAAGTGATCTTTATCAATAATAACAATAGATGGTTTATTTAATAACAGTAGACCTAAATAAAGGTCAGAAAGTTTACTAAGATCTCAAAAGTCGTGTATTTTAGAAAATGGCTCAATAGTCCAGATCTCAAAATTTAGCATTCAGTTTTCCACAGTATTCCATAACTCTTGCCCAGAATGATGTCAGGGAAAGTTACTTCTCTGATATGCTTTATGTAAATTATAGAACTTACTCTCATGTAGTTGTGAAATTAAAGTAACTGAAAATAATTTAGGAGACAAAAAATGAAAGGTATAACACATAATAAAGTGAACGACTTAAAGGTTCAACAATTAACCTAGCATCAATAAAACAAACAGTGTGCTCATTAGGCACCTAGTAACCTCAGTGGAGAATTCAAAGGAAGTGCATTCATTCACTCATTCATTCATTCAACAGATATTTATTGAGGGCCAGCTATATGCCACATACTGTTCTAGGCTTTGTGGATACAGCAATGAACAAAACAAAAAACTTGCCCTTAGAGAGGTGCCATTTCTACCTGAATAATTCTGGTGTAAGAAAAGCTGGATCTCTGGCCTCAAGGACCTAATAATTTTGTTGGGCAGATAAAACAAATGAAATACATGAAGTAGGAATAAAGAACAACACTGTGAGCGCTGCTTCCACCAACATACAGTAAGAAGGATTGGAGCAACTGGGAAGGCTCAGTGAAGGAGGTGGGACTTGTGATAGTTATTAAATGATGGCGCTTGATTCAGACCTTTGCTACTCAAAGTGTGATCTAAGGATCAGCTGTATCAGCACCACCTAGGAGCTTGTTAGCAATGCAGAATCTTGGGCCCACTCCAGACTTGTGAGATCAAAATCTGCACTTTAAAAAGAACCCTAGGAGATTTCTATGGACATTAAAGTTTAGGTGGCACTGCAAGGTCAGGCTGGCATTGTTAAGTGTGGGAAACATAGACCAGATCAGGGCCCACCATCGGGTTAGAAATAGCGAGTTCCTGGACTTGGGGAACTAGGAGTAAGGAAAATGCAATTATATCCTTTATCGTCATTAAAAACAAACAGAAACCATAGAGGAAGGAGTAAGTTTATCACCAGTTAGAATTTGAATTCCCAGCTCTCCCACCTCTTAATTGTGTGATATTTGGGTCAAATTATTTAACCTGCTGAGCCTTTTTCTTCATCTGTAAAATGGGGAAAAAAGCAGTTACGACCCGAGAAGGCCCTTGTAAAGATTCAATAAGGCAATGCATATAAAGCACTTAGCAGTCCCTGGCACACACACCAAAAAATGGCATCTATTAATGATAATGTTTTTGATAATAATCATATGCTATTCTCTGAGAAAGATTAAAGAGAAGATAAATATTTATTGAGGGTCTACTAGAGCCCCCCCTCGAGTGTGTTGGGTACAGACCTATAACAAATTGCAAGGTACGGAACTTCATCCTCATTTTAAACTGGCTCTTGGATTTTACGTTTTTAAAATGTAATTAACCCCTAGTGTGTTCCCAAAGGTGCCTTCCTAATGAGATTCCTGTAATTGATATTATTTTAGCATTGTTACTGCTATTATTAGGATACTCTCAAAAGAGCTCATCACCCTCCTAGAGTGGAACTTAAAATGAGGCGGAGGCAGGGAGTTGGCGTAACCACTGCTGTGTATGCTGAATTCAACCATCCCTACTGCTAATGATCCAATCTCATTTCCCACGCCTCTATTATCCTCATTAATTTTCCTGCCAGTATACCATCTGTTTTCCAATTTCTCTCTCCCTTACACGTGCAGAACTTGTAGAGAAAAACCTCAGTCGTGCCGTCCCCCAAGTGATAGCCCAAGAGGCGGGGACAGCCTCAGGTTGAAGTCACCTGAAGCATGTCTGGGGACGGGGAACACGGAAAGCCAGAGAGTGGCTACGGGTCCGCCCAGTGGTGCAGCCCCCGGCTGGGGAGAAGGGACGGCGGGAATGAGCAAGGGTCCACCGACTCAGCAGTTCACTGTGGACCCACCTTCGGCCAGCTGGGGGTACCAGGAAAGACTTCCAATACTCCCCAAGTTTCAGCTCAAGAAGTCTCTGAGGCTGCATGTGCCCCAGTGTCGCACGCCTGCCTGCAACGTGGCCGCGTCCGGGACGCTCTCATACCCCCAGGGTCTCCCACACTCTTCCATGCTTTCTCCAGGCCCAGATGCGTTCCAGGTCTCCCAGTCCCGTCGTTCTCCTCTCCGCGTGCCAGGAGAGTCTCTCCCTTCTCGGGCTCCCGCAAGCCCAGTCAAACCCCTTCGCTGCCTGGAACCCCAGCTCCCCTGACACCACCCGGCTGCGGGACTGGGACGAGGGCAGGGCCAGCGGGGGAACCGCCCCCAACCGACTCCCCGGGCAGGCGAGCGGGCGGGTTGCTGGGGCGCCTCCACCTCCTCTTCCTAAAGCGGCGAGGCGCAGACGAGCGGCATCACTCGAGCCCAGGTCCCAGCCACAGCCACACACAGCGCCCCACGTTCAGGAAGAGGAGCAGCAGCGGCTACAGCGGCAGGCGGGCGCCAGAAAGGTAGACTGAGTCCCAGGGAGCCGCGCCGCCAAGTGCCCACCTTCCAGCTCTGGGATACGCGCCACCAGCCCAGTAACCCCACTTCTGTGTGTCCTAACAGGCCCCGATCGAAAAGCCTGGGAGGGCCGCCGAGCTACCCCCGGAGGAGGAGCCAGTCCCAGCCCAAGGCGCCACCGCCGCAGAAGCAGTGCGGAGCAGCAGTCGCCTTCATGGCCCACTCACCGGTGGCTGTCCAAGTGCCCGGGATGCAGGTGAGGAAGCCCCGGCCTCCCCCGCCACCCACGTGACTGCCCGGGAGCCCGGTGCGCGCTCTGCGCTGGGCACCAGCCACGAAGGGGCAGCCCCCGGGCTCCCCTTGAAGGCAGGGCCGGGCACTCTGGCCAGGTGACCTGGGAGTAGGGCTTGAGGTGTTTTCTGGAGTCTAGGCTAGCTGGTGCTCTGCACTGTGAAGGCGAGGAGGGCCTGGGACGCGCAACTAGGTGGGGATTGCGGGGGAAGGGGGGTATAAAAATAGGCCAGAGCCAGAGACACCTGCGCCTTCTGAGCCTGGCACGGTTGGGTTTTGGGGGGGGGAACTTAACCTGAGAGCGATGGAGGTGTCTCGGAATTCGTGGGGTAAAAGGCGAATCGTGTCCCCCAAAACACACACACACACACACACACACACACACTCAAGTTGGGGCGGGGCAAGACAAGGGGTGGCGGTGGCGGCGGCATTGAATTGGGCTCTTCCTGTGTGCGTAAAGCGAAGAGCGAGGTGACTTTTTCCCTTTCGGTGCTGCTCTGGTGCTGCTCTTAAAGGGCGAAGTTGTATCTCGCTCCCCCACCTGGTGCAGCCCATAGTGTGGCGTGAGAAATGTAGGGTCCTATTCAGAGTCGCCTCGATGATGACTTCCCAGCCCCCTCTCCCTGCCTTTCCCACAAGACTGTTGCATGTGGTTAAAGGAAGCTTTTTGTCCTGGACAAGGGACTACTGCGTGGGACCCAACTTCTTATGCAAGGTCTACCCAGCCCAAACCCTCCCCCTATTATATTCTCACTTCATCAAAGAAAAACTATGTCAAGACACTTTTTATGCTGTTATATTTTTAAATCGGTGCATTTTAGGCTCTCTGCTAAATATTATCCAAATCTACTAACTTTTTTGAAGCATTCACGTTTTATTTATTTATTTTTTCTTTTGTTACATAGCCCCAATAACCTACTTACGAATAGGTCAGAGGCTAAAAACACTAAAGCCTCAGTCCCTCATGATCTTCTAATAATGCAAAAGCAAACTTTTTTCAAGTTCAGAAAAGAAATGTTTGGAGTCGTAAATAACTTATGTTTCTAGTAGAAATCAAAGGGCTGTGGATGGGGGCCTCAATTAACTTATTGATGAATGGAATTCTTTTTTTTTTTTTTAAAGCAATCGGTCTAATTTTATGCATGATCACAAGAGTGATTTCTAAAATCCTTTCCCAAATCAAGGCCATTTGTGTAGGGCATGTCTAACCTAGCACTCCTGTGTGTCCTAAGCACCAGGCCTTGAAAAACCTGCACTTAGAGTAAGACTGTGTTGAGTCCCAGAAAGTTGGTACATATTTAATAAAAATAGGTAAAAGAGAAAACAAAAAAGAGAGACAGAGAGAGAGAGATAAAGGGAAATAGGTTAATCCATTCAAGCTTTGCAAAATGCCTCAGACTTCCTTCTCGGGCTGTCTCCCCCCTTCCTTCTTTCTCTTTCCCCCATCCACCCTGCCCTACACTCGTTCATTCAGTTCTGCCTTTGATTGTATCAAGAGAATTAGTAGTTTGCAATACTAACTACAGTTTTGCCCTGTCTGATCTGGAATAACGTGTGAAATTTTCCCACTGTTCTCTTCTTTCCCTTATGTGGAGAGGAGAACAGTAACAGATGTAAAATTAGTCTCTAAGGGTCTCCAGGCTTCTCTCTCCATTGTGTGCACGTGCCTGCATGCATCCCTCAGCAGAGAACCTCCGGTTCATCAAGTTGGTGATTCTGGGGAACTCTTTGTGCTGAGGAAAAAAAATGGTTTCTGGCCTTTATTTGATTTGTCTTGACATTATTTGATTTATATGGTTTCTAGTCTTTATTTGATTTGTCTTGACTTTATTTGATTTATATGGTTCAGGAACTGCTTGCTGTTCAGTATTTCTTATTGCTCCCCACTTTAGTTGTCTGGGTTGCCTATCTCTTGAGTTTTTAAATCTTAATTAAGGTGGATGAGGATGTGAATCACATATTTTAAATTACAAATTCTGCCTTTCACTTTATACCCTCCAAAAGTTGTGATTACTTTGTGCAGCAGTTTGGGTAGGACAATCATCTCAATATTAGCAAACAGAAGAGGAATATTTATTTGTCATTCTCTCCATCTTAGTGAAGTGGTAAATTCTTAACTCCTTATTTCCATTTTCTTTCTACACATGGTTTTTAAACAAAAGTTTTCTCCGTATTTGAAATTGTACAGTACCCTATAAATAAATTTGATGGCATGAAGTGTGACTCTTAGCCTAAACTACTTTTATTATTTATCTGTGTAAAAATATTGCAGCTGAGATACAGAAATATACGACAAGCTTGTAAGATCTCCTAAAGTTTTATTAGAGTTAGAAGCAACTTTTAGACCTTTAGAGTAGTAAGAAAACTTGAGTTAGCCATGTGTTCTTGAAATCAATGTATAGTATTTCCACAAATCAGGGTGAAGTGGTTGACCAGCCTGTAACTTTTTAACAGTTTATTTTAGAGAATTATGAAGATTGATGTAAAAAAAATGATTTTTCCAGAAATACAAACAGAATTACTTTATCCACAATGTTTTTCTCCCTCTGAGGACAGACGTGCAGTAGAAGCCGAGCTACCTGTTCTATCACTTAAGTCTTCCAGCATTCCTGACTTGCAAACAAAGAAATTTCTGTTGCCACTAGTTTAAAATAGGAAAGAAACTTGGAGTGAAGAAAGAAAATCCAGGATTTGGTCCAGTTCAAACTCTTCCTATGAATTAGTTATTCAAACTCATATTGTTGATATTTCTTAATATTGTGGTAATGAACATTTTTGCCATATTACACCAAGTGTTGAGGGTATGAATTTTTTTGTACTTAATTTGTGCTTACTTCTTTAGTGTAAAACTAAAGGAATTTTCCATACCAGGAGCTGAACTCTTGAAAAATATTTAAAGCACAACCTAAAATAAATAAATAAATAAATAAACCAATAAACCTGTTTCTTTCCTCTCAAATATTTACTCTTTATTTAAAACCCATTTTTTCCTTTGACGTTTTCAGTTATAAATAATACTTAAGTTTAAGATATTTCCCCTTAGAACCTGCATTAGTATTTATGAAGACAAATACTCTAAATTGACTGTTAAATTTTTTATAAAGTGTAGGTGGGAGAATAAAGTTAAATGCTGAATTGCAGTACTAATGATGTTATATGCTATGCATTATGCTCTGCCTCTCACTAAAGAATTTTTTAAAGTTGCTGGTAAAGAATTTTTAATTAGCCTTCATGTATCTTTAAATACGATCGAGGCGGTACAGTTTGAAATGCTTGTTATTTGAGTTGTGAAGTGCCAATGAAGTTTAAGGATTAATAAATGCTTTATTGAAGACTTTTATCGAGGAAGTGCAGAACATTGCCTGGCACCAGTGAACCTAGTTACTGGGTTCTTGGAAGGGTACAAAAATATACTACATGATCTGCCCTTAAAGATCTTAAAATCGTGTCGAGTTGTTAAAGCTAGTACATGAAATAGCAACTAATGCAAAAATCTGTGAACTTACTGTAAGTACAATAGAACTTTCGGACTGGCAGAGTTGAAGGCTTCCAGAAGGTAAGCTGACCCCAAAGTATTGTTTGGATCCATATTGGGGAGGGCATTTCTAAGCAGGGAGATACCCTGAGCAAAGATATATATAAATGGAAAAGAAAGGGTATGCCCCCAAGTGCGAGTACACACACACACACACACACACACACACACACACACACACACACACACACACACACATACACGTAGTCTTTGAGAGCCGGATAAAATTGCTTGGGCTGTGATGAAGAATTCCTCTAGAGAAATAATAGGAGATAAGATTGGAAAACTGGATCAGATTCCGATCGTGATGGTCCTTAAATGCTAGGGAAGGATTTTGGCCTTTGAACTACTCATCAAACACTTCTGAGTAAGAGAGACTCAATGAACAAAGTTATATCTAGGAAGAGAAATTTCAAGATTGGATGAATGGATGAATGGGAGACATGGCAGTTTGATCTGTAGAGGCTATTTCAATGGGACAGTCATGACTGTACAGACCCAATGGACCTTGTATTGACAGATTGCTTCAGGTATGCCTAGTACTGTGAGGGGAAAAAAATCACCAAACTTTATGATTAGCTAGTTACAGAAGGAGGAGTCAAAATCTTTGTGGTGTTGGATATGGGGAACTGCGAGAGTTATGGCACATGTGAAAGAAATTGGAATGTAATGGGGAAGAGCCAGATCTGGTAGGAAGTTACTGATTTCTGTTCTAGACTTGAGAATATTGAGGTAACAATGAGATGACAAAGTAAAATTGTCCAACAAGTAGTTGAAGATATAGAACTGGAGCTTTAGTCATTCATCAGGCATTTACTGACATCTACTTATGCCAGGCACTTTACTTGAAAATGAAGAACCAGAGCCACCAGGAAGGGAGAGGTTCATAACGCCAGAGAGAATATGTGGACGTGAGGGCCCTCATTGTAAGAAAAGGAAACAGGGCTTTAAGATGCATGGGAGGACAAGACGATGTTTCAAGGTAGACAGAGAGTTAATGGGGGCAAGAGGTGGGGGGCAAGGATTGTTTATTTAACTGTTATCAGGAAACCTAAATTGGAGAAAGAATTCCATTTGGTACCACAATCTAGTTTGTGGAGTTCTCATTTCCCTTACACGTTCCAAAGGGACTAATCAGTTTTGAAGTTCGAGGTGGAAAGCATTGCCTTGCATTAATGAGCGCAAACCATTGTCCTTCTTGTTGAGTGGTTGATGCAGAAGTATAGCACATGCTAATAAAAATGGCAGAAGACCAGCTGAAACAAAGTAATCAAAGCCAACTGTTATCTGGGAGAGGCTGGGCTAATTGGAAGGTTCGAAGCTGGGGGCTAGAGGCCGTAGGGAGAGTAAACGGGAATTGGGCCCCTGGGAGGGCATGTGCTTTGAACAGTAATGAGGGTCTCGTAATGGCACTTGAGTACAAAGGTTCA